ATATCTGTGAGATGAAAATTATTGATAAAAAGTAAAGAGTATCTTAACAGATATTTAGCACCCACTAAACGGATATGTTACTTGGCCACCCGCGGGTAAAATGTTAAAATCACAAACATGTAAAACACATATAATGTCTCAACATACTAGTACCACTATGCATTAGAATTTTTAATCAAAATATAAAATACCGGTAAGTTTTATGGCCTAATTATAATTATATTGTTCGTTGTTTTGTATTGATTTTGCACTCTGGTTTGCGATGTCAAATACCAACTGATTTTCCGAAATGACACAATAAAGAATTCTTGAATCTTTAATCTTTAACTATAAATGCAAAAGTGTGAGGAATTAGTTGTTTTAATGGGATTTGAATTCCCAGCTAATCTTCAGTGGCCCAGTTTATTTATTTATTTCTTATTTATTTGTTTTTCTATTTCCAAGCAACTTACAGGATGGACATAAAATATATAATATATAATATAAACTCAGCGGTTGGTTAAAGCGTCTACATCGACAGAAGAAGGTCCCTGGTTCAAATCCCGTTTCGGGCAACTTTGACTAGAGTTTTGCTCTATAATCAAGTTGCTGCTTAGGACTGGAAACACAAATAATGTATAAATATAATAGTTAATAATACAGCGCTCAAATAATATATGAGGATGATGTTAATTATAAAATCGTATCAAACATAGTTCATCAACGAAAGTTCCTTATTATAGTTGTATGGAAAAAGAGATCTGGTGGGTATCGAACCCGCAATCTCTCGCTATCTCGGCAAGCGTCGTTCTGGAAAATTCTGTAGAAGAAATGTAAATTACAAGAAAATCTCACTTAAAAAATGTTAATGAACTGCAGTTTGCTTTTATTTCAAACACATGTGGAATACATACTCTATTTCCTGGGGAGAATTCTATACATTTGCAGCAAGTATCAGCAGATGTTTATAAACTTACCAAGTACCTATTTTGTACCCTGGCCTGGTGGCGTGACCTAGTCGTAGAGAGTGCCTTTTCCCAATGGGACAAGCGCATTAAATACAAACACCGAAGGATTGATCCCCGAGCTCAAGGCGTACTATAGGCCTACATTCATTGGTGGCGGGAGGGGGAAGGGGAATTCGGAAATTATAATAATGGGCCTATCCAAAGAATGTTTTTTGATTGCCAATTTCTAATATCGTAGTCTAAAAGCACAATTTTTGCCATAGTGAGCCATAAAAATTCTTCCCCTTAAACTACCTGGGATTTTTTTTTTATTATGGGATCTTGATCATGCTCTATTTGTCCCCTAGATTCGAACACCTCCTCCCTCTCCCCTTATCGGACATGACGAACCCCAGTCGGCAAATTTCTTGTGCCGTACCGCTGTGTACATTTAAGATTCTCTACACATCACTCAATTATTAATATTGAAGGTGACAAGTCGTCGGAAAAAAGAACGAAATATCTTGCTGTAAGTCATATCTTTTTTAAGTCTGACTTACATGCTCCCAGATGGTTGACCGATTTGTAAAACACTCAGTCGATCGCACAGATGTCAGCTAAAAATGTTACATAACCCAAAAAATAAGCAAACTGAAAACACAAACCACTTAAAAATAAAGTATCCCCTAACAGTGACGTATCCGGAGAGGGGGTACTCGTGGTGCTTGAGCACCCCATCTAGAGGTTGAAACAAATTAAAGGAGCCATTGTTTGGCAGTATATACCGTAATTGTTCTGGAGAATTTTGTAGAAGAAATGTAAATTACAAATTCCCAATTGAAAATATTAATGAATTGCAGTTTGCTTTTATTAAAAAAGAATATGAAACTGCATTTTTCTTTATGGAAATTTGGATCGGTCAGTAATTTGTAGTCTATTTTGAGGTCAATTCAACATCTAACATTATAACAATAATAATATGTTAGACTTTAATATAGCGCTTAATGCCAACAATTGGTTTCTGAGCGCTTGACATTATTGGATTAAACACAATATGGAACACATTACCCTGCTCCCTGGGGAGAATTCCATACAGTTGCAGCTAGTATCGGCAAGATTTTATGTGTAAACCTACAGGTATCTATTTGTACCCCTGGCAGGGACGTATCCAAAGAGCCGTGGCTCCCCGACCCTTCCTTTGTACACAATGGAAGTATTTTAAGGCTTGTTCTTGCTCCAATTGTATGGGGTATGGGGTTAACACGTACAACAACAACAGGTAACTCGTCTTGATTTCATAACATTTATTCATCAGTGTGACGTAGCAAAATGAAATGAAATGAACAGACAGTGAAACATTTCATTAAAAAAACAAAAGAAACAAAAAAAAAACAAAAACAAAAAAACAAAAACAAACAAAAACATTGAAACACAAAAAGCGGTAGGCCTACTACTGCCATTTATTTATTTATTTTCATAGAAAACATCTCAAAATATTATCTTTAAAAACATTATTCATAAGAAGTTAACTAGATTTGTCTCTGGGCTAAAACATAACATAACTACAGGATCAATACAAATAAAAAAAAATTAAATTAAAATAATAAGAGTCAAAAACACATAAGTATAAAAAATACAAAGCAGATACAGTAATGAATACAGATATTGTAGAATAATAGGCCTATACATACAATAGGCATATACGCAGGATGAAATGTAACGTACTGTAGTACGTAGTGAATGTTGTAGAGGTCAAGGTTGAACGCGTTTCTGGAGACGTGAATGCGTTACAGAACCTCAATGTCACCGCATTACCTTCCGAAGCACGGCGGAAAAACCTGCAAAAAAAAAAAATCATTTTTACCATATTTTGGATAATTACCGTACTAAAAGTTGGTTTCTATTGATTATTAAGTAGTTTTCTACTCTCGTGTGGTAATATTTTTATCATTTTTGCGCCCGTGTGGTAGCGAGTGGTGGTCCCGAGTGGTCGCGTGTGGTCGCGAGTAGTTCCGTGTGGTATTTAGTAGGACCGTGGGATAGCGGTTGACACGTACAACGACAACAGGTAACTCGTCTTGATTTCATAACATTTATTCATCAATGTGACGTAGCAAAATGAAATGAAATGAAATGGTTTGGTACAGTATAATAATAGTTCTATATAAAAATCTTAGAATTTACGAAGACATCAGCTTAAGATTCTATATGTCTGCTTTCAACAATGGCTTATAACAAAGAGACAGATCTACTTGGCTTGGCTTCCCAAGTACCCATTCCCATTTTACATTTCAATGGGATGTACCAATTTAGGATGTTCAATTAGGGTAAATAACAAAATTAACAATGGTGCCTAAAATCATGAACCATAACATGTTCCCTGCGATCACGACACTTGGCCCCCAAGTATTGTAATCTAAAACTCACTGTAAATAGACTGATCGGGAGGCATGATTATTGGTTGAAGTACTGAGATGCCACCCAGTATACCCACCCCCGGTACAACATTATACGAAGAACACCAACATACTTGTCATGCCAACTGTTAAAGTGCAGATATCCAGAGCCAGTTCGTCCCTCTCAATAGCAAAGATGTGAGGAATTTATATATATATATA